GTTACAGGCGCTGCAGCCGCGGCCCCTCGGGGCGTGGTGTGAAGGCGGGAAGGCCGCTGGGTAGCGCGCCATGCTCTGTGCAATGAAAGCTCCCGCCCCGAGTAAGTCTGGCTCTTCCCCGCCCAGGGGCAGCTGCACGGAGCGCTGGGGCTCACCGACTCCTAGGTTCGTCTTGCCCCCTCTCCATGTCTAGGCGTAGGGCCTAGAGCGCGTGAGGGAAGATGTCCAGCCCGGGCAGGGCAGCAAGGAGCTGGGATAAGGAGGCACCAAACGGCCCTGCAAGATGCTGCCTAACAGCATCTCACTGAGCTTGCCAGCTGCTGCCCGATGTGCCAAAGGGGCACGGAGCATATCCCCAGTCTCTTCTCCGACGACAGCTGTAGGGTACTGAAGGTTTTCCTGGAGAATGTCATCTATAACGCTATCAGCTACACCAGCGTTTCTCAACCTGTAGGTTACAAGAATCAGCCTGGAGCCTAAAAGATTTGGGGGTGGGGGGGCGGGAAACTTGATACCAGCTTGTAACTGTACAAGGAGCAAACAGCAGGATATGGGAGAGTATCAATTTGCCAAGACACCCCAGGGAAAGACAAGGAATAACAAGCTGCTGGAAGATCATTTCAGATTGGGCATAAGGACAAACTTCTTCAGACCTACACCAAGCATGCCAAAAGAAAAGGGCAGTGATCCCAGTGGACTTGATGCATGTCCTGAAGCACCAGGGCTGTGCCATGTAGGGAGGGGGTAGCTAAGCCTCTTCAGGAAAAACCTGAGACACACAGCAGAGTGGGTTCTGAGAGGAAGAGTGAACTGAATAGGGCCAGGGTCCTATTCCCCAGCCCCCACTGCACACGCATTTAAGGCCTAGGAAGTTCTGATTCAGAGCCTGTACCTCTGACTCCCCTGCTCAATAAGGACTGATGCACCTTTCCTCAAAGAATTTGTCAAGTCCCTTTTTTTAATCTAGTTGCAGCTAGTTTCCATGCGTCTGGTGGCACACAACAAGTTCCACCCTTGAATTACATGCCCTGTAAAAAAGAACTTCCTGTTGCATTACAAAATGAAACTAGTAGGTAGCAAGTTTAAATGTAAATCTTAGTTCTTGTGGTTTCCTAAATTAGCTACCATTTACTAGCAGGAATTATGATGCTGCAGGGACAATAAGTCTATAGGATTTATTTTGTTTCTTCCAAGAATTGTAAGAAAAGAAATTAGACCAGTAATGGAAAACAATCCCATAGTTCATTGTTTAGCCACCTTTATTTGTGCCATCTGCCTTGTTCTAAATACAGGGAAAACAATTGTGTTTACCCAGTCAATATACACCTACATTTTATTCTACCTTGATATTTAGACAAATCCAAATATAAATACAAGTAAGCAAACATTAGAAAATGAGAAGTACAAATTGTACAAGGAAAAAAAAGCTTTAAAGATAGAATAGAAAGGTAGAGTTTTTTGGTTTCTTTTTTTTTAAAATCAGATCAAAAGAAAACTGAACAGGAAACCAGGTCAGTGCAGAATTCAGGATTTTTATTTATTTATTTATTTTTAAACACAGTATGTCACTGAATTGAATCAAGAGGGCTTTAAACAAATCTCACCAGGGAAAATTGATTTCTGTTGTTTGCCCAAAACGGCAATTAATAAAGACCTAAACTTGTGAGCATCTAGCCACAGACTACTTATTTGGATTATGCATGCAGGCAATACAAAGCATAATTAACATGCTTAACAGAGAACAGAATAGGTCCCTTTGTGTGTATTACCTTGTTTTATATTTCCAAGAACAAATGAAAACTTTACCACCACCTAACCCAATTAAACATTATATAACCTTATTTGATTTTCCAAGAAAGGATTCCCATAAATACTCTGACCATGAAGGCATGCTTAAGAGCCCCAAATTCAGGAAGTTTGTAGTAGTCCTATATAAAGACATGGACTTTTAAGTAGATTATTAACCTGAATGCAGTGTACAGGCACAGTCATATAGGACTTTTAATGAAAGATACTACAGTAATATTTACGAGAGTGACACTCAGCCTTTTGGGGCATGAAACACCCCTTTGTACCTTTTGTGAATTGAAGGAGTAGCTCTCAATTTCAAAAATTAAAATTTATGTATTACACTGCTTACCCTCTTTTGTAGGAGGTGCCAAGCAAAGGGGATGGGGGATTGGCCAGGCAGGGGCAAGCCTAAGCCTGCACTTATCTGCTTATCTTCTTCCACCTTGAGGTACCTTTCAAAGCATCTGGCAGCAAAAAGTGTCACTGTACTCTAGTTGTAAATCACTGATTTAAGACAAGCCCTTTAAAAATACATTAGGTGAAAGTTACCATTTAGCTCAAATGAAAGGATAGGCAACCAAAAGGTTGCACCATGAAATAACAGAATTGGAAACCTAATGGCAATAGTCAAATCAACCAAATCAATACCAAATCACTGATAGTTTTACACAAACTGAACTATTAGCAGCAGGGCATCGGGGTTGTAGAACAATATATTGCATTGTAATGCAAGTAAAGTTTTGACACATACAATTCAGATGTCCATTGACCTACATGAGGGAGCAGGCAGCAACTTTTTACCAGCCATTACTTACAGCTAGCGTCATACAGAATTTGTTCCACTGCATCTTACCCAAACCAAGTTCAACAATTTTACAGGCCTTATCTACCACTCTTCACTACCACACAGTAGGAACAACATTTGACAATACAGAAGTAAAGAAATTCCTAGAGATGGTCTTGCCTATTATTACTCTTAACATTGCCAGTTGTACTGGAGCTGTACCAGATGCTCAACCTAATGGGGGTGGGAGGGAAGGGGGAGAGGGAAATAAGACTTCCATGTGGACTACAATAGCAAAACTGGACATTTCTAACATCCCCCACCCCCATCCACACAGAAACAGCACTTTAAAAATCTGGGGGGGGGGAGTGTTACAGGTGCCTTCCAGGGAGCCCATCCTTTTTGGATCCATGGCTTGCTATCTTGGTTCATGCACATTGTACAAAACAAATGCACAAAAAAAAAGCTATGCATCTTAAAACAGGCCTATCTGTAGAAGACAAACAAGGAACTAGTGTTGAAGGGTCCAAATTATGAACCCTTTACCCTAAAGTTGACCTATTGCTAGGAGTGATTTTTTTTTTCCCCCCTCACCCCTTGAACTAATTAAAAACTTTCTGCAATGGGGCTTAGTGGCTTATTCTGACACACTATTTTTTCAGACCTTGTTTAGCAGAATTCATTAGGGAAGAAACACATACATATCCACACCCACCTCTTTCCCCCACACAGGTTAGCTTTCCAGCAAATAAAGTTCTCAAAGATCAAGACACAGCTGTGAAAGCAATACTAGTTCTATTTCTGCTCATTATGAAACTTTGGATAAGACCTTTTTCCAGGTAAAAAAAAAGGTATCCATCTCTTGTGTATGGAAAATTATAAGATTTACTTTCATAACCATTTTATTTTTTTTAAACTGTAAAAGAGCTATAAATGACTAATTTCAGTAAGTCTTAGGGTTTTTTTATTATTTTTAAAAGGACAACTAAGCTCAGGGTGTGCAGAATAAGTTAGTGCCCAGAGGACGTTGAAGGCACTTAGTTAAATAAAGATGATCTCTCTCCCCTTCTCCTACATGATCATTAATCCTCTGGAAAAAACTTAAATCTCCATTAGATTTTTATGAGTAGTACCTTGAAATAAAGTGGTGCTGACATAGGAAGACAAATCACATAAGTAAGCATTTATTAGAGAATCAATAAACATGAAATTATACAAATAAATGTTGTATTAACACAAATCCACATTGTGTCATAACACGAATGGCAAAAGGACAAAATAAAAGCCATAAAGAAAAACTAAGTCAGCCGCTATGTACAGTTGGACACAATTGTGTCTACACTAAAAGTCTTTTACAAAATAGTCATCTCGTCACGAAGACCACCCTCCATTCCGTCTCGATTTTCTGCAAGATGGCTTTGCTGTATCATCTTCTCCACCTAAAAACCAAGACAAAATAAATATCAGATCTGTGCAAGCTTTACAAGAATTGTTAAAAGGTCCATTTTCATGAACTGCTTTAAGTCCTCTATTTATTCCTTTCTTCATTTTTAAAGATCATATGCATATTTAATTTGAAGGAAAAAAAAAAAAAAAAAAGTAGCACAATGTTTCTGGGTACCCAGTAATTTTTATCCCCCATACAGCAGGCCAGCCCATTTAGGAACTCGTTCCAGAGCAATGCATGTTCAAATTAAAGTTAGCAATTCTTACAATGCATTATTAGGCTGTTTGTGTACTTTTCCATTGGAAATAATGCCAATAAAACAAATTAATTGTAAAAGTTCTCAGGGGACTAACACTGTGTGAACACATGTTGCCAGATGTATCCAATTGTAGCAGTCTATGTGCATATGATCTTTAATATTTTTCCAGATTTAAAAGTTCGTTTTGGTTTGCAGATTTCACTATTAGCTATAAAAAGAAAAAAGCAAGCATTAAATCTTAAAGAATGCACACTTAAAATGAGGTTCCACAATTGAAATACAACACTAAACAGAAGACCAAAATGATTAAGCTGTAAAGGCATTTATGTACTTTTAACTCCTGTAAAAAACCATTTAAGTTAAGACACTTAATCTTCAAAAAGATTAAAAAAGAAGCCAAAGTCTGAAGTTTTCCACTTTAATCTTTACGCTGGTACATGAAGTTGGAAGAGACCATACCACAGGACAGCGTTTTCTGGTGTATGCCTTGCGCTCTGCCTGCAACGTGCGACCCCAGAGAGACGTGGTCAGGGTGACACACGGCCTGCAATGAAGTTCCCGCTGGCGGGTACAAACAAGGTATAATGTCAGAGTTAGAAGACAACATTCCTGTTTTCCTTAAGTTGTACCCATTTCAGTACTTTACCTGTTAATACTTCTAATAAAAGTTTAATTATTCCTCTAGATCACCTGGTACACAACACAAACAGAAAAACTCTTAAGTTTTTCTGACATACTAAAGAAGATGAAGTCACATTTTTACAAAATTAAAGATCTATAGACACTTTAGGCAAAGCAGAGTTTTTAAAAAAAGGTATTAAGTTAACAAAGTTTAGTTAAACAAAGAAGTCAAGCTACACAAGAAAAAGGCGGTACTATTTTCATTTGTCTATTGATCTTTAAAATTAGATTAAAAGAAACTGAAGTGGTCCTTGCCCTCATATACACACCTGCTGCTTCAAGTACTGCTTTAATATGGCTGGTAATTGTTTTGGTGATTGCCGCCACCTCGGGATGCCTTTCCATATGTGCTCTGCTGACCTATTAAGAGAATGGAAATTTAAATTTTAAATGTCTGAATTAAGAGAGTTAGAAGCGCAAGCTTCCATGCACAGTACTTTTATCTTTTCTGTCACACACAGATAATTATTACAATTTACTTACCACTGTAATCTGTATATCCTGGTCCATAGCTATAGTTTCCATAGTTGTACCCAGGATAATCGTATCCACCATAACCACTGTAGTTTTGATCGCTGTAAGTACTGTTGTAGTTGCCATACCCTTGATCATAGTAGTTATTAAATCCTTGATTCCAGCTTTGTCCCTGACCTAAAAAAGTACAGCAATTATACACTGTAGTTCCACTTCCTACACTCTATCCCTCCCAAGAGAAGTAGCAAGCAATCTACATCAACATGTAGCTCCGTTCTGTAATGGCTATGTGGAAGAGTCCTGTCACTTTGCAAAGCATCTAATGCTTTTGGAAGCGTGCGAGGAGCACAAAAACATGCAACATTCCAAAACACCTTGCTTCAAAGTGTCACATGGAGTTGCAAATGTTGGTGACTTTGGTTTAACTACTGAAAAGTGAAGAGGTAGCACACTGTCCTATTCATAAATCACCTAATACTGGCAAGACAACTCTTGTCCCAACATTCATATACAGCACGTGTATTTGGAAACATTCCCCCCCCCCACACTGTCAACAGATCATTATTACCCCCTTTCCACATTACCTGGATCACCACGGATAAAACCTTGAAGATACTATCTAGCTTTACCCCATATTTATACCTTTTAAAAGGAACAACCACTAAATTCAGGAATTTGCAGTCTCATAAATCTCAATGCAAGTAACTAGTCTTCAGTTTACATTTGAGTAGCTGTGAAAACAACCTAAATTAGTTTTTATAAAATGTGAAGTCAACCAAGTCCCAGGAAGTTTAGTTTCCACACCTCGTTTACCCTGCTCATGTTTGTTTTGGAGCAACCTAACAGACAAACTAAAACCAAGCTTGGAGAAAAGCCCTTAGAAAGAGATACAATTTCCAACAAACATACCCCTGCCACGGCCCCTGCCACCACCTCGTCCACCAGATGAAGCTCCTTTTCCTCCTTTTTGTTGCTGTTGCTGCTGTCTGTATACTTCTTTGGGCTGTGCTACTTTGATCTCACACTGGAATGAAGATAGGAAAGTTTAGCTGCATGCAAATGCCAAGAAAACCACATAAAACTAAGAATGCTTGTCCAGTACAACAAGAATTGTTACTTGACAGCTTTGTCAGTTGGACCAAAAACATCCATACCTTTCCAGAACCAATTTGATGATATCTGCTTTCCAATAATTTCTTTACTGGCTCTTCATCTGTATACGTGATGAAACAGAAGCCTCTTCTTTCATTTGTCTTTGTGTCCATGGGAAGCTCAATATTTTCAATCTGAAAATAAAAAAAATAAATAAATAAAAAAATCATTTGAAGTGTATCAAGTCACGTTTTTTACTCTGACTCACTGTAGTCTCTCATAGAAACATCCATGCCAATAATATGGTTTAAATAAATAAAAAAAAAAAAAAAATCCATTTAACGTCTTCTATTTATATAGCCGAAAACAGAACAAACTAGTATTACATTGAAGTGGGGGAATTCCAATGGAACCTATCTGTACATTGGGGAGTAGAGGAGGGGGCAAGGGAAAAACACAACCAAAAAACCCCCTTGCATCACTTGATGAGGTACACCACAAGTACCATGGTTAATTTAACTATTGCACCTCATTCCAGATATTGCTGGTTTATTATGAAAACCATAATTTCATGGAAAGCACAGATTACCCTCTCTCTTCCCAAACTTAAAACAAATTATCTAATTTATTAACACTGATCATGTAATTAAAGAGTCTCCAGAGCAGTCATACTGTACCTCTCCAAAAGCACCAAAGTACTCCTTTATTTGTTCTTCAGATGTGTCTGGACTCAGCCCACCAACAAATACTTTTTTGGGGGGCTCTTTTCCTTTCAAAGCTTTTGCCCTTTTGGGGTCTATTAACTTGCCATCCAACTTGTGTTCCTTAAGCTCCAGCACCTAAAAAGACAATACCCAAGAAAATTTTCAGAAAGTTCAGAAGCGACAAAATTAAGTGTTACAGCCCCTAAACTGACAGCACATACCTTCTCAACACTGGCAGCATCTTTGAAGAGCACAAACCCAAATCCCCTTGACCGCCCAGTTACTGGATCTGTTTTAATTGTGCAATCCACGACCTCTCCAAAACGAGAAAGATATTCAGTCAGATCTTTCTTACTTGTGTCCCAGCTCAGGCCTCCAATGAACATTTTGCTAAAGAAAAAAAGAAAAACGTAAGAGCAGAGCATTTGGCTAGTCACATCAAGCTTGGAAAGAACCAAGCCTGTGTGGCAATTCCTCTAGCCATACTGGAGCCAGCAACATACCACTGGATCCATCCACCCCATCTTCAGAGCTTGGGGCTGCCTGCTGTACCCATGAGACCTACTTAGATGAAGGGGAAGGTCTGACACCAGACGCTGAGAGGGCACAACGACGGACATAATCCTGAGCAAGGCTATAACCCTGGGGCAAGCAACTCCCAGCACAGGTGCCAGTGTGGCACGGGAAGGTATTCTGCTTGGCGCACATGCTTCCGGGTAGACAGTGGGTAAGTGCTTGGGCTGCGCTGCCGCAAAAAGGATCAGGCTCCTTGCAGCTTGCTTGCTGCCCACCCCTGGCACACCAACATCTTACAAGGAGAGATTGTGGGTGTTTTTGGCACTCTGCCATAACCACAGGTACGGGGGCTCCCCCCACGCACCAATGCTGCCAGAGGGAAGCAGTGCAGGCCCCCTCCCCGTGCCCGTGTCCACCCCCCCAGCTCAGAAAACGCGCTCGCCCCGCCCCTTTCCAGGAGGGGGAAGGGGGCGGCTTGCCGCGCCCCAATAGGCTGCGGGTGACGTCAGGGGCAGTAATTGGCACGTCGTGACCCCGCCCCTCGGAAGCCAGGTCAACGGGCCAAGACACAAAGAGCCCCCCCCCCC